CCTTCCTTCCTGCCTTGCTCCCTTCCTTCCCTCCTTCCCTCCCTTTCTCCTCCCTTTCTTCCCTCCCTCCCTCCTTCCTTCTGCAGAAAGCTCAGGCCCAGCTCAAGCTGCCCATCGTGCCTTCTCTGCAGCGCCTGCTGATTTACCGATGGGCTCACCAAGCCCTAAGCACCCCAGTGGATCACCCTCTCCTTCCTCTTATTTGCCAGAAATTCTTCCTTCTCTATTTGCAGCGCCCGGGATTGCAGGATGGGTGAGTGGACCGCTGGCGAACGATGGGAGGTTTTGTTGAATTGTGTGAGTTGATTTGAACGCTGAAAGACCCGTGTTCCAATCGTCTCGTCTTCTAGTTTCAAGAGAGAGTAGACTATAAGAGGCAGTTATGTCCAGTGGTTAAAGCCCCAGGATAGAAACCAGGAGACTGGGAATTCTAGTCCTGCCTTAGCCATCAAAGCCAGCTGTATGACTTTGGGTCAATCATTGGGAGACTGCGAGTTTTAATTCTGCTTTAGGCACAAAATCCAGCTTTGGGCCAGTCACTAGGAGACTGGGAGTTCTAGTCCTGCTTTAGGCCTCGAAACCAGCTATATGACTTCGTACCAATTGCCTGGAGACTGAATTGTAGTCCCACCTTAGACAGGATTGCCTACTGGATCCGTTTTGAACACTCCCTCTCTCTTAGCCCAACCAACCTGACAAAATTGTTGTTGCGGAGAAAATAAGAGGAGGAAGGTATGTTGGATATGTTCGCTGCCTTGAGTTATTTATCAAAAATATAAAGGAAGGATACAGAAATCTGAATGAATAAAAAAAAAAAGATATATGGGAAAGATCTCCATATATGCCCGTATGTCCTAGAGAGCCCCACTCAACTCTGGTGAAAATATGTACACTGCTCAAAAAAATAAAGGGAACCCAAAAATAAGACATCCTAGATCTGAATGAACATTCTTATTAAATACATTGTTTATTACATAGTTGAATGTGCTGACAACAAAATCACACAAAAATTATCAACGGAAATCAAATTTAGCAACCCATGGAGGTCTGGATTTGGAGTTACATTCAAAATTAAAGTGGAAAAAAACACTACAGGCTGATCCAACTTTGGTGTAATGTCCTTAAAACAAGTCAAAATGAGGCTCAGTAGTGTGTGTGGCCTCCACGTGCCTGTATGACCTCCCTACAACACCTGGGGATGCTCCTGATGAGGTGGCAGATGGTCTCCTGAGGGATCTCCTCCCACACCTGGACTAAAGCATCCCCCAACTCCTGGACGGTCTGTGGTGCAACGCGGCATTGGTGGATGGAGCGAGACATGGATGGAGCGAGATGTCCCAGATGTGCTCAATTGGATTCAGGTCTGGGGAATGGGTGGGCAAGTCCATAGCATCAATGCCTTCATCTTGCAGGAACTGCTGACGCACTCCAGCCACATGAGGTCTAGCATTGTCTTGCATTAGGAGGAAGCCAGGGCCAACCGCACCAGCATATGGTCTCACAAGGGGTCTGAGGATCTCATCTCGGTACCTAATGGCAATCAGGCTACCTCTGGCGAGCACATGGAGGGCTGTGCAGCCCCGTAAAGAAATGCCACCCCACCCCATTACTGACCCACTGCCGAACGGGTCATGCTGGAAGATGTTGCAGGCAGCAGAACGTTCTCCACGGTGTTTCCAGACCCTGTCACGTCTTTCACACGTGCTCAGTGTGAACCTGCTTTCATCTGTGAAGAGCACAGGGCGCCAGTGGCGAATTTGCCAATCTTGGTGTTCTCTGGCAAATGCCAAACATCCTGCACGGTGTTGGGCTGTAAGCACAACCCCCACCTGTGGACGTCAGGCCCTCATAACACCCTCATGGAGTTTGTTTCTGACCATTTGAGCAGCCACATGCACATTTGTGGCTCGCTGGAGGTCATTTTGCAGGGCTCTGGCAGTGCTCCTCCTGTCCCTCCTTGCACAAAGGCCGAGGTAGCGGTCCTGATGCTGGGTTGTTGCCTTCCTACGGCCTCCTCCACGTCTCTGGATGTACTGGCCTGTCTCCTGGTAGCGCCTCCATGCTCTGGACACTACGCTGACAGACACAGCAAACCTTCTTGCCACAGCTTGCATTGATGTGCCATCCTGGATGAGCTGCACTACCTGAGCCACTTGTGTGGGTTGTAGACTCCGTCTCATGCTACCACTAGAATGAAAGCACCGCCAGCATTCAAAAGTGACCAAACCATCAGCCAGAAAGCATAGGAACTGAGAAGCGGTCTGTGGTCACCACCTGCAGAACCACTCCTTTATTGGGGATGTCTTGCTAACTGCCTCTGCTTTCCACCTGTTGTCTATTCCATTTGCACAACAGCATGTGAAATTGATTGTCAGTCAGTGTTGCTACCTAAGCGGACAGTTTGATTTCACAGAAGTGTGATTGACTTGGAGTTACATTGTGTTGTTTAAGTGTTCCCTTTATTTTTTTGAGCAGTGTATATTTCAAAGAAGACCTTTAAAATATGTAATTTTTTTCTTTTTTAAAAAAATGTGCGTTAAGATTGGGAAAGAAAAGGCGCAGAATCATACCGTTAATTACACACCAGGAACACTAAAATCAGTTGGTTTCAGAGGTGGTATTCAGCCAGTTCTGACCAGTTCTAGAGAACCAATAGCAGAAATTTTGAGTAGTCCGGAGAACCGGCCAATCCCACCTCTGACCGGCAACACAACCCCATCTCTTCTCTGCCTCCCATCGAGTCCCAGCTGATCGGTTGGGTCTTCTTTGGTTGCCCTGCACAGGAGAACGGAGCTGGAAAGCAGGTTAGTGGGTTGGGGAGGGAATGGAGATTTTGCAGTGCCCTTCTCCTGCCACACCAACCAAACCACCTGATGCCCACCAAGCCACGCCCACAGAATGATAGTAAATAATTTTGAATCCCACCATGGTTGGTTTGTGTTGATTATAAACAACAGGATTTCTGCTTTTAAGGCTACCCAACGATGGCTGCATTGGGAAGAGATTTTTCCAGAGTCCTGTTCACCTCAGCCTGTTGAATGACCTGAAGCAGCATCTGATTGAGGCCAGCGACTTCCACCATTCGGCTAGCAAAATGCTCCAGATGGACAGCCCAGCGGGTGGGAGCGAAAAACCAACAGCAAAAGGGTTCAGCAAGGCCAATTATGTGACTTTCCTGGAGCTTCACAAGGACCTTGTCAGGTAACCTCAGATGGCCTTCAGGTTGGCGTTTTCTTTGCTAACGTGGGAGTCCATGGATGCACAGAGGTTGGATGGAGATCCACCAAGATCTGTCCTGAATTGTCCCAAGCCAATGTAGCCTTCAGGAAGAAGTGATTCCATGGTGGACAAAGCCCAACATGCTTGTTTGAAGAACCCCTATCACAGTGAGGGCGAACCTTTTTGTTGTGGTGTGTCAAAAGTGCGCATGTGCTGGCACCCACAATGCAATGCGTCCCGCCCCCCCCCCCCGCACACCAAACACCCCCACCCCTTTACTTGCAGTGCACACGCGCATACCTCCCAGCTGATTTTCGGCCCATTTGAGGCTGTTTTCGCCCTCCCAGGAAGCCTCTGGCCCAACCGGGATCCCAAAGAGCAAACACAGACAAAGGCAGCAGCCCCCACCTTTTAAGGATTAATAACAAATTCTATTCTGAGGGCTGCTTTCCACTAATTTGCTCCGACAAGAAAGAGCCTTACCAAGTTGTTTGTCCAGGCTGCCAAAAACCCAGAGATAAAAACTAGTTTACAAGATTCTCCAAATACGAACTAAGATGTCCACCAGTTGAGCTTAAGAGCTTCTTTGCTGTCTGCAAAGAACACTTTTCCAAACTTGGCTTTTATCTTCTTGAGGGAGGGGCCATTACCTTATAACCTTACTCCCGAGTCGCCTGTGCTGCTATAATTGTTCTTTCCTCCGAGAAATCCTTCGTGCACGTGCACTTGGCACAGGCTCCTCGGGAACCTCCTCATCGCTGCTGCCAGCCCCCACAATCTTTGAAGGCAGCAGTCCACTCCCTAATGGTTCTGGCCCCTCATCAGAGTCATCGCTCTCCTCAGCCATCTGCATCTGCTGCTGGCTAACCACAACAGCAGCCTTGGAAGGCCGAAAAATGGGCCTTCTGGAAATACCAGAAGTGCCCGTTTTCTACCTACGGAGGCCTCTGGAGCCTGGGGGAGGCCATTTTCGCTCTCCCAGGGGCTCGAGGGAAGCCTCTGCAGCCTCGTTAGGCTGAAAACAGGCCCGTTTTGGCACTTCCGGTATTTCTGGAAGGCCAGTTTTTCTGCCTCCCAAGGCTGCAGAGGCTTCCCTCGAGCCCCCAGGAGGGTGAAAACGGTTTCAAACGGGCCGAAAATCAGCTGGGAGGCACACGTATGCTCAGTGCAGGTAAGTTTGGCTGCGGCTCGCATGCCTGCACAAATGGCTCTGCGTGCCACCTGTGGCACCCGTGCCATAGGTTCGTCATCACGGCCCTATCAGGTTTCTGAGGACCTTTTTGGCTTCAGGATGGATGCTCAGATAATTTATGAAACTGGTTAAGTCATACTTTGAAAGCAACTGGGGATTCAGCCTGGTCTTTTATGTTTCTTTTGCATCATATACGGTCTGAAGATACTTGTGTGTGTTACATAACAACCAACAGGAGAGCTCCTGCTTCAAACCTTCTGTTTTGGATGTGTTTTCAGGCTCTTTACCACATTTGTTCTGTGGTTGGAAGAAGAAAGGTTTCAGAAAGGGGACATGTACATTCCCTCTTTGCCCAAGCAATACGACGGACATCGGCTTGCCAAGATCATGCAGAACCAGCAGGTAAAAAATGAACTTATCAGTTGGGTTTAGGCTGCGTAAGGATGATTTTTGAAATCATTACTGGTAGTCCTCGACAACGACCGCAACTGAACCCAAAATTGCTGTTGCTAAGCGAAACATAGGTTGAGTGAGTTTTGCCCCATTTTACAACCTTCATTGCCATAGTTGTGAAGTGAATCAGGGTAGTGTCAAGGCTCCGACAATACACCCCCATTCAAATCATAAGTCTCTAGCCGCATCTCTCAGAGTAAACAAAATTGATTTATTAGGAGAGACCATGTCAGCGTTTCCTGGGTGCAGCCGACTCTAAGACACATCATTCATTTCACCCTTGACCCTTGTTTTTCCCCCACCCCCTGGATGTTTATTCTCCAATGGGACACATCCATAGCCAAAAGTCATCAATCATGCTCTCCAGTAATAATCTTGTGCGCCAACAGCTTCGGCTGCCTAGCAATTATCTGAAGCATTTAAGGAATGCACTGCTTTTCCCCCTCCCTTTCTGCTGGCAACTAAAAGACCAAAGAAGTATTTTTTTTAGTTGACAGGCAGTTTGTTCAGTTCGTAACACAGGATGTCAAGTGAATCTGCCTTCCCCGTTGACTTTGCTTGTCAGAAGGTCACAAAAGGGGATCACATGACCCCAAGACACTGCAACCATCATAAATATGAGTCAGTTGCCAAGCATCTGGATTTTGCTCACGTGACCGTGGGAAATGCTGCAACAGTCGTAAGTGTGAGAAATGGGTCATAGGCCGCTTTTTTCAGTGCTGTTGTAACTTTGAAGAGTCACTAAATAAAGAGTTAAGTAAGCTGTTCTGACCAAGGCTTCCTGAGACATTAACAAACACGTTAGTCCCAAAAATCATTTGTTTTATTTCATGAATTATAGTCATTCACAGCCTGTAATGAGTCTTAAACAGTTTGTAAATAGTCCCACAGAAGTCTGCCAACATCCTTCGGGATATGTCTGATAAGCACACACCTTTATCTTTTTTGAAATGCTGCCAACTGCTAAATTGCCAATTAGTTGTACAAGACCAAACTGAGCACAAATTCAACATGGAGCTTCAGGTTTCAAACCGACCAGTACGAACAAAATTGCTTCCTGCAAAGGCTCATGTCCCTTTGCTTCTCCTTTATGTCTTATGGGAGGGCCAGTCACCTCCAAACCTGACTCCCGAATTTCCCCTTTTGTCTTAACTGTTCTTGCCTTCTGGCAGCTCTGCACACATGTGCACTGGGAACAGGCTCCCCCTGTTCCTCTGCCTCACTGCTGTCAGATTCTGGAGGCTCCGGAGTCAGCACATAACTCCCAGATGGCCCTGGCCCCATCTCTGTGTCGGACACAGATCCCTCATCCAAGTCCTCCCCAGACTCCAGAACTGGCCCTTGTTCCTCCCACTATCCGACTCTGCTGCCAGCTCTGCAGGCCTCTGGCGGACCACAACATAAGTGTTGTATTTCATACCTCTTTGGGGTTCCTTCTGAATCCTACTGTGATGACCCGGAGTGTAACACAAACGTAACAAAATCCAAAACATAAATAAATGTCCTTTAATGCCTCCAACTTGGCCCCACTGTTCAATAATTTTCAGCTGGAGATAAACTTATTCAAAAATAGTTTTCAAAAGAAAGCAATACAGTCCGAACTTAATGAGCAGATAGTTTTCAAAAGAAAGCAATACAGTCCAAACTTAATAAGCAGATAGAGGTGAAATAAAAACCAAAACAAACTACAATGAAGGAAATTCCACAGTGGACCAGGATAAGTAATTACCAACTTAAAGGAGATAACAAGGCACAGTCTGTTGGAAGGACGCCAACCAAGATAACTTTAGCCCAAAATAACACACGTTTTGCTTCTGGCAACGCTGTGTTTTAACTGTCTCTCTTATATACTATTCTCCCCAGCTACAACCAATGAGGGGGATCATGGCCGCTTCCTCTCTCATAAGCCAAGTTGTTTCCTTCTCCATTCCTCTCTGCGTGCCCTAGGATGAAGAGGGGATGGGCCTGGTTCTTCATCTGACTGCCGGCCTCTGCCCTTCCCCAGTCTCCTCCACAACCTCCGGAGCCACACCTCCACTCCCTTTCGGCTGTTCCTCCTTTCCCTCAGAGTCCAATTCTAACAAGGGCATGACACCTACCTTGGAATACCACACTTGGAGTACTGCATACAGTTCTGGTCACAATAATCCAAAAAAAGATGTTGAAGAAGAAGAAAGTGAACAGCCATGAAGATGGCCAGGGATCTGGTCAGCTAAATTGTATGGTGAACGGTTGAGAGAGCTAGATCACGGAGAAGTTTGTTGTGTGAAAAACAGTTATAGGTTCACTTGGTTCCGTTGTCCTGTTGTTATTTCAAAGGGGTCACTAAATGAATAGCTGTAAGTCAAGGGCTACTTGTGACAACTGCCAGCGGCTGCTCAGTTCTGATTCCCGGTGGGTTTGACACCTCCTTTTGAATTGCACAGGAGTGGGATTCCACTTGTTCAAGGGGGTCTCAAAGCTTCCATTGCAATTGGCGTCCATGCTACTTGACAGCCACCCCAACGGAGGTGGGGTTAAATTAAAGCCAGGGCTTTAATCGATCTTGCTGGCAATCAGAATGTCCAGTCCTCCTGTTGTGGTTCGCCGGCAGCGGAATCGGACAGTGGGGAAGAACGGGGATCAGTCTGGGAGTCTGGAGAGGACTCGGACGAGGGTTCTGCATCCGATGCAGAGATGGGGCCAGGACCATCTGGGAGTGGGGTGCTGCCTCTGGAGCCTCCGGAGTCTGGCAGCAGCGAGGCAGAGGATCCAAGGGAGCCGGTTCCTAGTGTGCGTCTGCGCAGAGCTGCTAGAAGGCGAGAGCAGCTGAAACAAAAGGGGCAACTCGCCAGTAAGGCTGGGAGGTGATTGCCCCTCCCGTAAGGTATAAAGGTCAGGCAAAGATGATGAAAACTTTGCAGGAAGCAAAGTCGTTCATTCAGTTCAGATTCATTCCTGAAGCTCTTTGTACTTCAGTTGGTTTTTGTTCTAGTTCATTTGACATTAAATGTTATTGGCAGCACTTCACAGGAAAGAAAGGTGGGCGATTATCTCGGGGGACTGTTTGAGATTCATTCCCAGCTGGGAATGAAAATAACTCCCAGCGTTGCAATAAAATAAGACTTGTTTTTAAAATAAGCGTGTGCGTAATTACGGTCTCGGAAGCCTTGGTCAGAACACCTCCTTACTGCTGTTTCTTGCTTTGTCTACCTTACCTGCTGGCTTGAAGGATCTCTGGATGGAATTTGTCAACGTTCAGCAGATTCAGTGTGAATTCCAGGAAGCCTTAGACCTCTGGTTTCAAGTCAGAGTGGGACCCCTTCCTGCCTCCAGTGCTTCGCCAATGCAGACAGACTTCACGGACCCTTTGTTAGGTATTTCATTCATTCATATATGGACTGTTTCCTAGTATGATTTGATTGCTTGTTGTACCCTATGACTATCACTAAGTGCTGTACCTTATGATTCTCGATTCTTGATGAATGTCTTGTCTTTTATGTATACCGAGAGCATATGCACCAAGACAAATTCGTTGTGGCTCCAAACATGAACATGTGAACATGGTTGAATGTGGACTCAACCCTGACCTCGCTAACTTGAGAATCTCCATAGACATTCCAGATTATTGTTAGTTGCAAATTACTAAGGTGCTGGGCAGAGGTGGGTATTCAGCAGGTTCTGACTGGTTCTGGAGAACCGGTAGCAGAAATTTTGAATAGTTCAGAGAACCGGCAAATCCCACCTCTGACTGGCCCCGCCCCCATCTCTTCTCTGACTCCCATCGAGTCCCAGCTGATCGGCTGGGTCTTCTTTGGTTGCCCTGCACAGGAGAACGGAGCTGGAAAGCAGGTTAGTGGGGTGGGGAGGGAATGGAGATTTTGCAGTAACCTTCCCCTGCCTTGCCCACCAAGCCACGCCCACCAAGCCACACCCACAGAATCAGTAGTAAAAATTTTGAATCCGACCACTGATGCTGGCTCATCTGAAAGACAAACCCCTGCCAAACATATATCATTTGGAAAGCAAAAATTGGTGGTGAATTCTTCATATCTCTTTCATACCCGGCAGGTAAGGAGATAATTTTTTTTTGTTAAAGTTTTTTTTATTTTATATTTACAATAAACTCACCTTTCATTTAAACAGTCTGTCGACTGGGTACATATATCTTGTGCTAACAATTATAATTAATACTTTCCTTACCAGTTATAGCAATAATCACATTTTCTTTATACGCCCTTGTCTCTTACATCTCTTATCTTTATGACAGTCTTAACTTATTCTTTATATGTTCATCCACTCAATTTTAACTTGTTTTATTATCCAACCGTTGATAAAATAAATTCCATACCATGTCGTATTAGTTTTGTCCTTATCCTTAATTGCCCTTGTTAATCTATTCATCTCTGCGCATTCTAATATTTTTCTCAAGTCGCCTTTCCCTCTCCCGGAATTTTTTTTGGCTTTTCCAGTTCCGAGCAAATGCAATTCTGGCTGCGGTTAATACATGAATAATCAAATATGCTTTTTTCTTTTCTATAACCTTATAGCTAAGGAGAGGATCATCAGCAGCTTGAAGAAGCATGATGCCCCCCGGCCCCCGCTGTCTCTTCAGCCAATGAAAGCTCCTGTGCCTGTCATTTGTCCTGCTAGCTTGGTAAACCAACACGAAACCAAACAATTGACTTGCAGTAACCTCAGGACCTTTCAGCAGCATGCGAAGTAAGATTTTTTTCTTTCTTTTTCTCTTTCGCTGTGTTTTGTTTTCTCTCTTCTGAACTGTGTTTAGTTATGGCATAGCAATCTATCTATATATAGCAATCTATCTATCTATCTATCTATATATATATATATAAAAGAGAAAAAGCACTCATGCATCATCACAAAATCTGCAGAACCGTAAAGCCTACAAACTTGAAATTGGGCACCTATGTTCCTCTTGCCTTCTAGGTGCTCACCCAGAAAGGATTTTTCAAAATGACCGTCAGAGCCTTAATATTTTGTATATTATTATTATTATTATTATTATTATTATTATTATTATTATTATTA